TAATAATAACAATTAATAAAAATAATATTTTATAATAATAATAATGATAATAATTCAGTGGAGTCCACTTATAACGAGTCCGTAAAAAACGAAAAGTCTGTTTTAAAGGACATTGGAGTAAATTGTATAGAGCTTCTCAGTTGTTTGCTCTGCTGGGATGTTGTGTCAGCCCAACAGGCTCGTCTTTCAAATGTGAGACAGCGTGGTGAAATCAGGCGCTAGTCAAAATAATAAGTCTTTAGCTGTTTGCAGTCACACAGCCAGCATTACAAAATACCCCGGTCTGATCACCCAGCCAGAATAGTGAATGGAATGGACCTCTCGGGCCTCGTGCAGGACTGGAACGGATAATTAATTTTCACTGTGTTAACACTTTGCCATCTTATTTTGGGGAAAATCCACAGAAACTGGGTGATAAAAAATAAACTTCGCCAATCGCCGAAATGTGGTGGCAAAGCGTTAATCTGGCATTTTTCCGCATGTTTGGGAATTTTTATCAAATTTTTGTTTTTTCGCTCAACACATTTCATGCCCATTAAAGAACATATTTCTGTGTGGATTTTACTGAAAAGGGTTGATTAAAGGCATAAAAGATGTAAATTTGACTCCAGATTCAGATTTTACGTTCCACGGACTCTCAAACTGTAGAGATATACACAACTTTGGCGTTACCTCTCAAACCAGGTGGACTCCCCCACCTCCTTCAATCTCCAATATCTTGACTTATATCCAAGATAATTTTTGGATACATTTTTAGTCAAAAACAAGGCGAGTGGACAGGCTTTAACCCTATCCATATGCCATGGGGTCATTTTGAACCCCAAAAGATGTATTCTTCACATTTTAGAATACTTCTAGCACGAAGATCTCTTTGAAACTTTCAGTATTTCTCAAAAAATCATTTTGACAGACTGCTATGCAAAGCGTACGAATAGGATTAACGAGTAAATTTTCTCTTTGGAATACAGGGGCTTGGAGTGCCCCACGTCGTATGAATACGATAATAAAACACGGCGTACGGATAGGGTTAAAATGATACCAATCACTCCATATGCCCCAAAATTGACAAGCACCTGATTCCGCCGCGTCATGACACAAATTTTAATTATCTAAACTGTGTGGATGGGGACGTTTAAAACGCCGACATTAAAAAGAAATCTGTAATAATTTATTTGTTTCAACTTTTCACCCCTAATAGTATGGAGAACTCATTGAAGCTTTGTGTCTCATTGTTCTGTTCCAGAAGTTCTCCTGGTGGTGGTGAGGAGAGGCGGTGCCACAACAACCCTCGACACATCGTCCGTCTATTCTATTCTATTTTTAGCCTTGTATTCCTTAGTTTACTAGCATAATAATATAGGGGGGGATTTTTGAGAGCGTCATACTGAACAAATGTGTGGGAAACAATGAAATATTCTTTTTTTCTCCAGATCTAGCACTTGATGAAGGAGGAGAAGGAGAAGAAGAAGCAGAAGATGAAGAAGAGGAAAAGGGAGAAGAAGAAGAAGAAGAAGAAGAGAAAGAAGGAGAAGAAGAAGAAGAAGAAGAAGCAGAAGAAGAAGAAGAAGAAGAAGAAGAAGAAGAAGAAGAAGAAGAAGAAGAAG